ATCTATATCTATATCTATATCTATATCTATATCTATATCTATATCTAATCTATATCTATATCTATATCTATATATCTATATCTATATCTATATCTATATCTATATCTATATCTATATCTATATCTATCTATCTATCTATCTATCTATCTATCTATCTATCTATCTATCTATCTATCTATCTATCTAGGCATTACAGAGAAAAGGCAAAGGATACCATCAAGGCAAATAGTGAGGAAGAGCTAAATACAAGTTTACCTTTGCAGTCTGCCCCATAATACCCTGGAGCACAGAGTTCACAAGCCACTCCAACAAAAGCTGCACTACAATTGCACTGTCCTGAGCCTTTATATCCATCATCACATGTACCACGGTTTTGGCATGGTGCTTCGAGCCCTCCGGGACACACTGAAAATGACAAAACCGACACGTATTTTTCAACTAAGTATATAACTTGAGAAATAAAGAATAAATGAAGTCATAGTGGCTTTCTAAGGAGACCCCAGTCTATTTGGTCATATAATTTTATCCATTTCCTAGAAACAACTGTGTTATAAGCTACAGGTAATAACTTCCTCCATCTTAGAAACTTAATGTGTTGGGCGTGTATAATCCTTCATTTTTCTTCAGTGCTTTGCAGTTATTTTAGGTTCTTAGTCACTGCAATTGTTAGCAGAATTGTCAGATATTGCACACATCTAAAATTATCCTTAGAGATAACTTTCTTAAAGATTGTACTGTACACACAAACTGTTAAAAAAAATAAACCTAGGAAGATGAAGAATAAAATTTGGTTTAATATTTCAGTTTTTAAAAATCAGGGAAACTTTCTGCTGGTTACCTTTTTTATCTATTCTAAAAGAAAGGTTTCACATAAGGGGTGTTCTGTATCTTTTAATAAATCCTGCCTTGCATAGATTTGCCCATGTATAGTAATGGTTTTTATTTATTGAATGGCATACATTTGTCAGGGAGATCTACACTTTACAGAGTAATCCTTACAGCCAAATTGCTAGTTCATTTGGTTTCACACTTATCTGCGGTGTGCCACAGGCAGTGGAGGGCAAACTAGCTTGCACTATTATAGCAATGGTTATGATAATTCATTTCACAGATATTTAAGTTTCATATGTTCTGGTGTTTAGCCAGGCTTTAGAGAAATCTGACCTTAGAACAGCCAAGAATATTCTTTATGTAGTAACCAACTTATTTTGGACAATAAGCAAATCATGGAATTAATAGTGAATGCCTGCCCGAATAGTGAGATTTCAGATCTATAATCATATGAGGTCAAAATAAGGGAATCTGACTAATCTGAAGCTCTAAGCAAAGTTTGTAAGGAGTGAGTCCCATTGTATTCACTGAAATGAATTAGGGCCAAAGTTGAAGATAAATGGCAAATTTTCATGAAGTGGTTTTTCTTAGGAGTTTTTATGTCTGGCATTTTAGGGTTTTTCATTTAAGTGCCAACCATGTTTTCAAAATTAGTTAGATGCAGGATCTGCTGCAGTGCACTTAGAATTGTGTGGCATAGAAAATGCACAGCTTCTCCAGTACACACAACGACCTCTATGAAAATCAGGAAAAGTGGTTTGCTTATCGATTTGGTCCAGCGTTGGTTGCAATTCAGCATTTAAACATTGCTAGGAGACAATGGGAAAATCCATTATTTCTTACCATTCAATGGAATATTTACTACACACAAGAAGATAAATGATATTTTTGGCAAGGAGGAGGAAAAATGAAAGTCAAT